AATAGAAGAAGCGGACTGGGAAGGTACTTGCTGAAAGTGCTATCTCAGTTTAGCAGCTGATTGCTTGCTTCAGATGTGCAGAGACAAGTCAAAGTTCTAATGCACTTTGTAAAAGATGGCTACGAGTCGAGAAGAAAAAGTTACAATAGAGCAGTGAAAAGCACCATCTCGGACGTAACTATGGACAACGTTCCAGACGAGCTCCGTTACCTCCCTGACGGAAGCTTGTTTCTGCAGGTGCAGGAAAGTGAGCTGCACATATACATATCGAGGAGCATAGTTAAGGTAAGTCACAAGCTGAAAATGAGCACGCTATAATATGCATTTTCAGCTAGCTGTTGACAATGGTCTCTCGGCATTGATTGCAGATGGAATCCATCAACTTAATCCCAGGAGTAGAACTGGCAGCGGAATTCGGATGGAACAGGGGCAAGTATACACTGTCCATGGAGTTTGTAGTGGAGGCTTCGAGATGCCACTGATGTTTGCCATCATGAGAAAGAAGAGAGAGGAAGACTATAGAGTAGTGTTCGAAAAACTGAAGGAGAATATCAACGATGCCCGGCCGGGGTTAGGGGAGCCGCAACTGAAATTTGTTGTAGACTTCGAACTGGTATGCTCCATGAAGCTGAAACTTTGCCCAGACAAATCCTTCCTGCTTTAGGCGGCCATAACAGCAGCAGGACAGGTTTTCCCATGGTGTTCCATTGAGGGATGTAGCTGGCATTTGAGTCAAGCTTGGGTGCGTAAGAGGAACACCTTGGGTCTCCTCCGCTTTCTGAAAGGGGAAACCAAATCGAGACGAGTCTTGAGATGGTGGAGAACGCTGAAAGGCTTGCCATTTTTGCCAAGAAGCTACTTCAATCTCGTCAACGCCTTGGAAGCGCCGCCGGTTCGACCGCATCACCCAGCTTTTAGCCCGTGCACGAAGTTTCTGCGCTACTTGAGGAGTACGTGGCTTGAAGGACCATTTTCGAATATGTGGTGTAAATATCAAATGGAAGCACATAGAACTACTAATTCTGCAGAGAACTACCACGGGTAACCATGGCTGGATTTACTTT